TCCTCCGTTGATGGACATCTGGGTGGTTTCCAGGTTCTGGCTATTACAAATAAAGCTTCTACAAATATGATTGAGCAAATATATCTGGGCACAGGGGTCTTTTCTGAGACTGATACTCCACCAAGGACCATGTATGGATATAACCTAGAACCTCTGCTCAAATGTAGCCCGTGGTAGCTCAGTAACCAATTGGTTTCCCATAATAAGGGGAACAGGGACTATTTCTGACAGGAACTCAATGGCAGGCTCTTTGACCTCCCTGCCCTCCAAGAGAGGAGCAGTCCTGCTAGGCCACAGAGGAGGACTTTGCAGCCAGTCCTGAAGATACCTGATAAACCAGGGTCAGATGAAAGGGGAGGAGGTCCTCCCCTATCAGTGGACTTGGAAAGAGGCAGGGAGATGAAGGAGGAAGGGTGGGATTGGGAGGGAATGAGGGAGCAGGATACAGCTGGGATACAAACTTAATAAACTGTGATAGATAGATAGATAGATAGATAGATAGATAGATAGATAGATAGATAGATAAAGGTCTTTGCTCGGTGAGGAGACCCTGAGTCAAAAGGGTCCTGGACTGAGAATGCAGACTAGTTAAGAATGTCAGTTAACTAATAAAGTTTTTAATTATCTTAATACTGTTTTGGCTCCTAATTTACCTTTTGACTTATATGCTGGTCATTTTGCTAGGTCTGTAGTCTCTTAAGTTGCTACAGTTTATAAAGAGTTGATACCGTACCACTTTGTGGAAAATGTAAGATTTTTTTGTAAAAGCACTCATCTATAACATCTATAACTTGCAGTATTGTTCATGCACATTTTACAACTAGACTGGAGTAACCCCACAGTGCATTTTCTGCTAGTGTTCACAGCCGTCTCGAACACACTGGAGGAGCCACAGTGAGTCACCGCGCAGTGTTTACCATGGTCGCTGCTCTCCACTCCTCTCACACATTCAGTCTTGCGTTGTCTGTGGCTTATGGCGATTTGATGGCGTCTCCCTCACTGCAGTTCTTTGACTTTCCTTCAAGGCCTTGCAGTAAATTTCCGCTTCAGTTAGTGTCCTTCTGTGTAGTGTTAAAGATTGCTTCTTTATTTTGTTTTGCATTTACCAATTAGCCTGCATACATTTTCCATTTAAGCCTTTGACATATTTTAAATTACATTAGTACCTTTATTTGTCAATTCTATATATAGATAATTTTTGTTCACTTTCTTTTTATTCGTTTCTCAGTCACAAGAAACAAATATTACATTTTCTAATTTAAATATTATTGTTAAATAATTTATAAAGTTTTAAATAAACTTTAAATTAATTTAAATTATTTAGCATATTATTGTTAAATAATTATTAACACATTATTGTTAAATAATTGTTAAATATTGTTAACATATTTTTGTTAAATAATTTTAAATTATTTAAGTAATATTTAATATGTTAAATAATTTGTAAATTTGTACAGTTAGTATTGATAAACATCTTTTATAGACTGACTTTTATCTTTCTCCTTTAAATGTTTGGCCTTGTTACAGAGTGTTAAGTACCTGATGGATCATCTTTCTGTTATAATTTTGTTTTATTCTTTATTAATGTGTACCTGGTTTAAAATTTTTTTAAAGTTAGTCCAACAATGTAGCTTTGTAGATCTAACTAGGAAGCTCACTCCGAATCTGGAGCAAACTCCATAATTTCTAAGCCATTTGTCACCACTGTAAAGACTAGTAATACTCAGTGGCTACCGTTAAGAACTCGCTAAATAAGCAGTAAGTTCACCTTTTCCTATTTGCATGGAGAAATGGTGTTTGGACTTAACACCAAACTTATACAACATTAGTGCTCCTTTCTTCAAAAGCCATGGTGTGAACAAAAAATCTTGGCAATGCTGGGAATTCTCTTCTTCTAACAATTTTTAATCATTTTTAAAGTAATATGCTTTTGAAACTTTTCTAACATTAAAAACCCTATATATTTTGATTATATCAGCATGAAATTTGACAATGCAGAAATCCTGAAAGCACATAAAAGGAGTAAATTGCATGCAAATTTTCTTGCATTCAAATCTCACCTGACTTCTTAGAGAAAACATTAGAGCCTTTTAATTCAGAAGAAGATCCAGCCCTGAAATACTGTGGCTATTGCAGCCATCATCAGCAGAATAAAAATAAATCAGTAAAGGTGTGTTGCCTTCTGTGTACCCTCTGCATGGAGGCTCCTGCAAACTGAGGTAAATCAAGATAAAGTTAAAGATAAAATTAAGAAAATGAATGACTTACCTCAGTCCCCCAAAAAGAAAAAATAATTAAATATAGAGGAGAGAAAAAAAAAGTCTTACATAATAGTGAAAGAGTGGCCATGAAGCAGGGATTCAGTAGATCTAAGGAGCAATTTATTCCCATCAAAACAAAAGAAGCAAGCGAGGACTTCAAGAGAGATAGCTTTTTTAGCCTGACTTTTCTTACCTAGAAAACATGAAATGTGCGTCTATCATATTAAAAACATTTTCATTTTTCTGAGCAATATGATATTGATGGGTGAAGATGAAGAAACCTGAGAGAAAAGTAATTTTACTCAGTCACAACAAAACCTTGAGTCTTGATTTAAATCTGAGAGACCTTCACATGAGATTCATGCTTTAGTTACAAATGTAAGATTTTTTTTAATAACAGTGCCATGAATGATAGATTGCTCTATAAAAATGGTTGCACATTTTATAGCTTACAAAATAAAGTTTGCATTGTATTTTAATTATGCGGAGATTTGGAGATGGACAAGGAGACAGGGACATCTGCCATAGCAATGAGCAGCCAAATTGGATGGATCTCTGCCGACTTTGAGGCTTCACTGTACACCTTCTGCAGAGCTGCAGCGTCTTTTAAATCAGAGGGAGGCTGGCATTTTCCTTGCCACCTAGGGCGGGACTGGGCCACGGATATGGATCACTGGCTTGATTTGAGGCTTTCGCTGGATGACATATGTGTCAAACTGATTTGAAGACTGGAGATATAAAATCTATGGACTAAAATTCTTTTATTTGGGGGACTACATAGTAATAAATATATAAAACTTATATAACTGATAATATCTTCTCTTTAGCTAAATAATATTTAATCTCAACTATTTTAATTGAAAGTTTTAAAAAATAAACTGTTTATATATCTTTGTGAATATGTGGAAAAAACTTAAAATTTTAACTTTTTTCTACTTTGTGTTTGTTTTGAGCTCAATAATGGCAGAAAAATTTAAAAACATAGTTCACTGTATTGGCATCATATTCAAATACATTCACTTATGTCTCAAATCATATTAAACTCTTTGTAGAATTGTATGTCCAGAATAACACAGGAATGATGAAATCTAAAATCTAACCTCTTTGTGTGGTTGTGGACGTGACCACCTGTGAAGCTGGCAAAAATTGCTAAGAGCAGATAAAGTAATGCCTAATTGGGTGGCTGATCTTTTCAGAACTGCTGTTTATATTCTAAACCTAAATGAATTCGGACACCTGTAATCATTTAGTAGCTCCAATATTCTACCCGAGCAGCACACTTAACAGTTGCTTTGCTTCCTAGGGTCTTAGCTAATTCTTCCAACAGAAATGGCTGGAGTAGGAATGGCTTGACTTCAGGATCATAGTAAAAATTAAATGGACCAAGAATGTACAGTTGAAAGGCATATCAGGTAGTAGGGACCCAGCTATTTTCCCACCTCCACAGATTCCCTACCTCATGATGAGAATCTCAAATCCATGAAGCATGCATTGTCAGCATTCTATTTCTACAACAAAATACTTGAGACAAACAGCTTGAAAAGGAAAGGTGTATGCCGGCTCACAGACTCAGAGCTTTGGTCTGTGGTTCCTTGACTCTGCTGCCTCTGGGCCTGTGGTGAGGTCAAACATCAGTGGCAGGAACATGTAGAGGAGAAATAGCAAAAGAGCAAGAGGAGGGGCAGGGGGTTAAATATGCTCCAGCCCTGCCAGCCACCTGCTGCCAGCTCCAGGCAGAAGAGAGTTTTGTCACTTAAGGGTTGTCTCCATCCAGTCAGATCGGTAACCCACGCACCATCCCCAAATCTCTTTCATGCCTGTTTCCCCTGCTCCTTAAAGAATGGGAAACGTATCCGTTTAGATTTTAAACACATATGTTTAATCTATTGCTTATCTGAACCAGTATAATGGAACTGCGGACAAAGTAAGAATAGTTCATTTTCTGGTTTTATGAATGAAGAAAGGGCAAAGCTAGCCAGTGCTAGACTCTGTTTCAGTCATCTGAAATTTCTACTGCTTTGCTCCACCTTCCTCATATAGAAATTGTCAATTCTTCATCAAAATTGTTGGCCTCCTGGCTACAGTCCAGTCAAAAGCAGTGGTTTGCAGTAGTCATGACCACATGTATGCATTGCCTCCGCATCAAAGCTGAGAAGAAAAAAATCTCTGAAAACTTTTCTTCTTAAAAGTCATTTTAATTGTGTGCGTTTGATCTCGACATAAAACCTCATTTAACTCAGGAAAGTATAAATGATGGGAAAATGCCTATAGTGAGGTTTTGATCCTTTTTCTCTGTGTATATATTCTATTTTATTTACTAAACATCAGTAGAACTTTTAGTCGATTTTACTACAAGCTGTGGTGAATCAACATCTGAGTCTTTTGTCTACCTATTACAAGCCTCTGTTTTACTTTGTAAACATTTACTGTGATAAATGTTTAGATTATTAAATGAAGCACATTTTATGGTATTTACATGATATATTGAAGTACACAAAAATGTTTATGTACACATGAATAAAGTGAAATAAAACTCACACAATGACATATATTTAAATACAGATATACATGTAATAATAACTAAATATCCCCTACCTTTCCTACACAAATACACTCATTATTTTTATTGCAATCTTTACGCTTTAGTTTTTATCTTATTCATATACATATACAAATTTAGGAAAAATTTTATATTAACAGTGAAGTCTAAATTCTATAAATTTCCCATTTTCTACCTAGAAATTGACATTGAACGCTGCGTGCGAGAGTCAGTTAATCTGTTTTGCTGGACACCTAAAAGTGCTACATACAGACAGCATGCTCAGCCTCCAAAGCCGACTTCTGAGAGCAGCGGAGTCCGAAGCTCAGCACCATACTTCTCTGTTGAGTGCACAGACCCTCCAAAGACAGACCTGGTATGTACGTGTTAGCAGATCCCAGTCAGGGATCCTAAGAGATGGACTGTTGGAGTATCCTAGTATCCTTACTGTTTATAATGCTGTCACTTACGTCCTTTTAGTGTAGCAATTTCCTAGTGTATGATTGTTTTCACATGGTTAATTCAGAAGACCTCTGTCTCCTTTGATGGTATAGTGAGAAAAGTTGTTTGGACATATTCCTCCAATGAAATAGTTTTGTTTTATATTTCTATATAAGCACACTATCTAGTAGTACACCAACTTGTTATATGAGATTTCAGAAGCAAAGAAAGATTGTTTTAATACAGCAGTGTTAAGAGTTATTGATATATAAGAACTTATTTGTTCATAACCAAGGAAATGTTGAGAAAACTATCCTATTATGTTTTTTTTCTTTTTAAGATATATTTTTATTATTTTTTAAATTATGTATATGTACATGCAGGTGCTCCTATAGGCGAGGAGTGTCAGATCGCCTTGGAGCTGAGTTACAAGCAGTTGCAAACTGCCTGGTGTGGGTACTGAGAATTGAATTCAGGTCTTCTGGAAGAGCAGTACATGCTTTTAACCAGTGGCCATATCTATACCCTTTTAACCACTGAGCCAAATCCCCCCCAACATCATTATGTTTTTCAATATTGGCCTTTTTATTAAACAATTTTACAAATATGTTCAACCTAACTTATTTATAACTTCAGTGTTCCAAATATCCCAGTTTTCTATTATTCTAATTATTTCCATGAAATTGAATTTCAGTTAATATGCATACAGTGTTTTATTGATAACCAGGTAAATTTAATAGGGTAGATTTTAAGGTATAAAAAGAAATACTCTAATGACAAGACATTTCAAACTTTGACTTGTTAAATTATACTTTTCATAATTAGATTTGTTTGTAGCTGTATATTTTTACCACTTAATATTTTCTATGATTTTTTTATGTTTCAAGTATTTGCATGCATCCATGTTTTCCTATTTCCCATTACAGCCAAATTGTATTTATTAACAACAGACATAAATCTGCAAGAGAAAGAAGTAACAACTCCATAGGTTTGCACAAGGAAGGATATAAGTTAGTAAATGATCTCAAAAGATAAGAATAAGAATATACACTAGAAAATAAATACTTTCACTAGTCTTCCAAAGTTAGAGTGGGCTTCCCAAGGGTAGAATTCCCATTTATTGGGATAAAGGGTAATATTTAGTGTATTATTTCTATTTTTTTAATTTATTTTTTTACATATGAATACTTTGCCTACTTGTATGTATGTATACCACATATGTGCCCCATGCCCTCAGAGGCCAGAAAAATGTGTCTGACCTCATGGAATGTGAATTATGGATGACTATGAGTGACCATGTGGAAGCTGGGAATTGCTCTTCCAGTCATTTGGAAGAGCAACAAGTGTTCCAAACCACTGAGTCATTTCTACAGCCCCTATGGAAAATATTTTTAATCTGAAATTTGGTTCTCTTTCCTATTTTTTTAGGTTCAAATTTAAATGTTAATATAAAGGAAAGTAGATAGAAAAACATCTGTGTGGAATATTCATTAAAATTAGAATAGTCATAATTTTTTATTTTTTTTATTTTTTATTATTAGTTACAGTTTATTAAGTTTGTATCCCAGCTGTATCCCACTCCCTCATTCCCTCCCAATCCCACCCTTCCTCCTTCATCTCCATGCCTCTTTCCAAGTCCACTGATAGGGGAGGACCTCCTCCCCTTTCATCTGACCCTGGTTTATCAGGTATCTTCAGGACTGGCTGTGAAGTCCTCTTCTGTGGCCTAGCAGGACTGTTCCTTCCTCGGGGGGAGGGGGGAGGTCAAAGAGCCTGCCATTGAGTTCATGTCAGAAATAGTTCCTGTTCCCCTTACTAGGGTACCCACTTGGATCCTAGATACCATGGGCTACATCCGAGCAGAGGTTCTAGGTTATATCCATACACTATCCTCGGTTGGAGAAACAGTCTCATAAAAGTAAAAGACCCCTGTGCCCAGATGAATTTGGTCCTGTCCTCTACAGATCATATTAACTCCCCCTGCTTTCTTATGATTCCCTGTACTCTGCAGAAGGTTTGGTTATGACTCTTAGTATCTGCTTTGATACATTGCTAGATAGTCTTTCAGAGGCCCTCTGTGGTAGACTCCTGTCCTGTTACTTGTTTTCTCCTACATCCAATTTCCATCCCATTTGTCTTTCTAAGTGAGGATTGATCATCTTACCCCAGGGCTTCTTTCTTATTTATCTTCTTTAGGTGTATAAATTTCAGTATGTTTATCCTATCTTATAGGTCTGTATAAGTGAGAATATACCATGTGTGTTTTTCTGCTCCTGGGATACCTCACTCAAGATGATCTTTTCTAGGTCCCACCATTTGCCTGAAAATTTCATGATTTCCTTGTTTTTAATTGCTGAGTAGTATTCCATTGTATAAAAGTACCACAATTTCTTTATCCATTCCTCAACTGAGGGACATCTGGGATGTGTCCAGATTCTGGCTATTACGAATAAAGCTTCTACAAACATGGTTGAGCAAATGTTCTTCTTGTGTACTTGAGCATCTTTTCGATATATGCCTAGGAGTGGTATAGCTGGATCTTGAGGAAGCACTATTCCTAATTGTCTGAGAGAGTGCCAGATTGATTTCCAAAGTGGTTGTACAAGTTTACATTCCCACCAGCAATGGAGGAGGGTTCCCCTTTCTCTACAACCTCTCCAGCATGTGTTGTCACTTGAGTTTTTGATCTTGGCCATTCTGGTGGGTGTCAGGTGAAATCTCAGGGTCATTTTGATTTGCATCTCTCTGATGGCTAAGGATGTTGAGCATTTCTTTGTTTCTCTACCATTCTGTATTCCTCTATTGAGAATTCTCTGTTTAGCTCTGTACCCCATTTTTTAATTGGAGTGCTTGATTTGTTGCCTTTTAACTTCTTTAGTTCTTTATATATTCTGGATATCAGCCCTCTGTCAGATATAGGGTTGGTGAAGATCCTTTCCCAGTTTCTAAGCTATCGTTTTGTTTTGATGACTATGTCCTTTGCTTTACAAAAGCTTTTCAGTTTCATGAGGTCCCATTTATCAATTGTTGCTCTTAAAGCCTGTGCTGTTGGAATTCTGTTCAAGAAGTTGTCTCCTGTGTGAATGAGTTTCAAAGTCTTACTCACTTTTTCTTCTAACCGATTTAGTGTATCTGGTTTTATGTTGAGATCTTTGATCCACTTGGACTTTAGTTTTGTACAGGGTGATAAGTATGGATCTCTTTTCATTTTTCTGAATGTAGACATCCAGTTGGACCAGCACCATTTGTTGAGGATGCTGTCTTTTTTCCACTGAATGGTTTTAGCTTCTTTGTCAAAAATCAAGTATCCATAGGGGTGTGGGTTTATTTCTGGGTCTTCTATGCGGTTCCATTGATCCACTATTCTGTTTCTATGCCAATACCGTGCAGTTTTTATTACTATTGCTTTTTAGTACAGCTTGAGATCGGGAATGGAGATGCCTCCAGACTATCTGTTGTTGTACAGGATTGTTTTGGAAATTCTGTTTTTTTTGTTTGTTTGTTTGTCCATATGAATTTGATAATTTTTCTCTCAAGGTCTATGAAGAATTATGTTGGTATTTTGATAGGAATTGCATTGAATCTGTAGATTGCTTTTGGCAGGATGGCCATTTTTACTATGTTAATCCTACTGATCCATGAGCACGGGAGATCTTTCCATCTTCTCATATCTTCCTCAATTTCTTTCTTCAGAGACTTGAAGTTTTTTTCAAACACATCTTTCACCTGCTTGGTTACAGTTACCCCGAGGTACTTTATGTTATTAGTGGCTATTGTGAAGGGTGTTGTTTCCCTGACTTCTTTCTTGGCCCTTTTGTCTTGGGGTATACAGGAGGGCTTCTGATTTTTTTTTTTTTTTGAGTTAATTTTGTATCCAGCCACTTTGCTGATGGAGTTCTCTGGTTGAATTTTGGGGGTCACTCATGTATACTATCATGTCATCTGTGAATAGTGAAACTTTGGTCTCTTCCTTTCCAATTTGTGTCCCCTTGATCTCCTTTCCTTGTCTTATTGCTCTACCTAGGACTTCAAGTACTATGTTGAATAGATACGGAGAGAGTGGGCAGCCTTGCCTTGTCCCTGATTTCAGTGGGATTGGTTTGAGTTTCTCTCCATTGAGTTTGATATTGGCTATAGGCTTGCTGTATATTGCCTTTACTATGTTTAAGTACGTGCCTTGTATCCCTGTTCTCTCCAAGACTTTAAACATGAATGGGTGTTGGATTTTGTCAAATGCTTTTTCGGCATCAAAGGATATGATCATGTTGTTTTTCTCCTTCAATTTGTTTATATGGTGGATTACATTGATGGATTTCTGTATATTGAATCACCCTTGAATGCCTGAGATGAAGCTTACTTGGTCATGGTGGATGATATTTTTTATGTGTTCTTGGATTTGGTTTGCCAGTGTTTTATTGAGTATTTTTGCATCAATGTTCATAAGAGAGATAGGTCTGAAGTCCTCTTTTTTTGTTTAGTCTTTGTGTGGTTTAGTTATCAAGGTGACTGTGGCTTTATAGAATGAGTTCGGTAATGTTCCTTCTGTTTCTGTTTGTGAAATAGTTTGAGGAGGATTGGTGTTAGCACTTGTTTGAAGGTCTGGTAGAATTCTGCGCTGAAACCATCTAGCCCAGAGCTTTTTTTTTGGAGGGGAGACTGTTGATGACTGCTTCAATTTCCTTGGGGGATATAGGGCTATTCAGTGTTTCTACCTGATCTTGATTTAATTTTGGTAAATGGAATCTATCAAGAAAATTGTCCATTTCATTTAGATTTTCAAATTTTTTTGGCATATAGGTTTTTGTAGTATGACCTAATGATTGTTTGGATTTCCTCAGTGTCTGTAATTACGTCCCCCGTTTCATTTCTGATTTTACTGATTTGGATTTCTCTGCCTTTTAGTTAGTTTGGCTAAGGGTTTGTCTATCTTGTTGA